GACGGCGACCACGATGTCGACGTTTCTTAAAAAATTACGTGAAAATTCAGAAAAATTCAGACTCCTGGACTTTGCATTGCAATATCTCTACTCATGGAGCACGTAGGAAAAAAGTAAAAATAGTTTTATTATGCAAATCGTACCCAAGCTGTCGATTAAGCGCAGTCTCAAGTTCGTGGGATCAGCCATTGTTGAGAAAAAAAAATCTGAGGGCCCGTCAAGTCGTGTACTCGCGTAAACTTACACGGTCGGTCTCGTGCGCGTGGTACTAGCTTCGCTTACACTTGGCGCGAGACACTACCGTGTCTCGTGATATACACAGGATGTCCCAGTAATGAAGATGTTTTCTCAAGCACATCAATTCTATTTTTAAAACTTATATAGAAAGAGACGCTTGATTAAGCACCTTCATTACTGTGTATACAATGTGACATGACTCAACGTGCGAATTTCGGACAATTTCATTATGTTGTATTAAATTTCAATTTCAAATTGGTCAACTTTGAACACTTCTCATTTGAAAATTATTATAGCATCGGCATTTTGGTATTATATTTTCGTCTCAAAATAATCTCCAGAATCTACGCCATTAACGGATGGCACGAGAGATTTGGCACATTTTGTATATTGTATATATGTATAATTTTAATTTCTTTATTTTTGTAAGTACCTGATTATTGAAGATCAATTCAGCTTGAATTTCGTTCTTTCGTCGAGATTAAATAGTTGTTACCGGAACTTCTTCTCTTGCACCTTGAAGGTATTTTCTGTATGGTCCTCGAATATTCATGGCAATGTGCGAATATGAAAAACGTAAAAAACTTGCAATAAAATTTGCAATAACTGTTCATTGAATACCCGATGCACTTGTGTGTGTCCATTTTTTACCGTTTATACACTTTAATAACACTGATTTATAGCATTCACTATTCACCAACACGAACCAACATGTGATCGGGCGCTATTCCTGCTATTTCTGCTGCGATTTTGAGCATTCAAGCCCTCCGCGTAGATGAAGGGGGAAAACGCTACGTGCGCGGGCTCGAAAACACAACACTGGCGCCAACACGAACGGCCATAATGTTGACGTAACATTGCCTGGCAGACCGGCAGCCCGGCAACAGTGGTGTGACTTCGTGAGAAATGGAAGCCCCTTCCACGCCAACCATTTCTCACTACGACACATGCGTAACATATCCATGCAGCCGAGCCGCTGAATCCGAAGCCTCTTCGGCGAACTTCGATTGGCGAGCTTCGGCGGCTCGAATGTTACGTATGTGTTGTAGTGAGAAATGGTTAGCGTGGAAGGGGCTCCCATTTCCCACGAAATTCCGACAGTGCTTGAGACTTACGGCATCCCAATTGTTTGAAAGTGCAATTATTTTTCTCGGTTTGAGATTTTATTGTTATTTGTATCTAATAATGAATAACGACAATTGTTTACTTGTAGAATTTGTCAATGAAAATATTAGTAACGCCGTGGGATTTAGGGAATGGTTAACAATAATGTGCGATGATGAAATGTTACAAGAACTAGTGAATAAAGGAAAGTCTGTTCAAATATCATGGCCCTCTTGTGAAATTAAAAGTGCGATGAAAATGAAAAAATCATTAAAACGTTAACGAAAAAGGATTGGACTACGACGGTAATCAAAGTTCTTGCATTTGGAGGTATGTATATGCTGTGACGTGGCGGATTAGCTGCCGCGTGCCAGCTCCCCGCTGCCGTCCCGAAGCGCGGTGTCGGTCCGCCCGGGAAGAGAGGAGGCCGCGCGAGGCCGTAGGAAAACCTCCCGGGGTCGCAGCCACACCTTTTTTTTACTTGCCCGCTTACCCGAGAATTTTTTAATTTTTGTAACGCGCCCATCGAGCGTCACCGAGACCTGACCAGCGAGGGGACCAACGGACGGCGTGGCCGAGAGGTGGCGAGAGAGAGAGAGCTGAGGGGCGAGAGCGCGAGGAGGCCAGCGAGCGGCGGCCGCGGGGAAGCCAGGGGACCAAACGGAGCGAGGAGCGAGTCTAGGGGCGAGGGCGAGAGGCGCCGACGGGCGGCGAACGCCGAGAAGCCGAGCCGCCCTGGGACCTGGGGCCCGAACACGCGGAGCCGCGCCTGAGGGGCGAGAGACGAGGCGCCGGCGGGACCGTAAACCGAGGGGCGAGCATGGGCGGAAGCCCCGGAAGGTCCGGAGGATCGGCGGAGCCGGAGGACCAACGCGCCGGAGAGCGGGCCCAGGATCGACCGCCCCGGCCCTGCGAGCCGCGCGGGGCGAATTTCGCACCCGGAAGCGCGCGGACAGCGATAGCGCCCCTGCGGGCCCGGCGACACGCCGGGCGAGCGGCCCACGGATTGGCGGATCCGCGGCGCCGCTATCTCGCGCAGCCCCTTTTCGCGGTCGTAACGAGCGATCGGGTGATCGACCCGCTCGCGCCGGATCTTCCGCTTTCGTTCGCGGATCCTCGCCCGAGTAACTTCGCGTCGGAGAGCGCGTACCGAGCCGGCGATCTGAGTGCCGAGCCCGTGGCGAGAGATCGAGGAGATGAGTGCCGACCGGGACCGCGCCGTGGGATTCAAGGAGCGTACCGGTGAGGTGGCCCTCGTGGGAAATATTCATGTAAAAGCCGCGTGCTTCCGAGGGGGTTAGCTCGCGCTCTGGCACCGCGCCGCGTTCGTTTTAGTGTTTTGGGCCGTCGGGGCTCCGCTCCAAGGGGGAGTCGGAGCCGGCCATTTCGTGTCGCGAGCGGAACGGCGGTGCCAAGCGCGGGAGCTCCCGGGGAACGGCCGTGGGCTTATCGCGCGACCGTAGCGGGCGGGTGTCGGTTATTGCGACCTCGGAGGGGAGCGTAGAACGGACGCCCCGTGCGCCGTGGTTCGAGCGGGCGCCTTTTTGCCCGCACCGGGGAATTCTTTCGCAGCGGACCGGCACGCCGGGTGTCGGCCGCGAATCGCGTGTCGCGAGCGCGAACAGCCTCCCGCGGGGAGGCTAGAGAGACCGACTGATCGCGAATTCGCCTCGGCGGAGGCCCCTTGCCTATTCTTTTCTTCTTGTACCCGATCTATTAAACGGCCTATGTTACTCTCTTAACCCGAGTCGAGATTATTTTAGTGTGTTCGTCTAAGCGTGTGCGTGTGTCGCGTCCCGTCCCGACGTCCCGTTCCCGCGAGCCCGTAATTACGGGATCCTGCCACCCTGCCGACGGTAACGAGCAGCCGGCCCTTGTCGCGTCGAGGAGGCGGATTCACGGCGCGCGTCGAGCGGATCGACGCCGCTAGTCCCGTACTTGGAGTCGTCTCGCGATATAAATTCGACGCCGCCCGCGAGCGCGTCTGGCGCCCAACCCGTTACTCCGCGCGCCCGCTCCGCGGATTCGTCCGGAGCGGCGACGGCCGCGTATTGTCCGGTAAACCGCCTCTTTCTTCGTCGCGCCCGGCGAATATCGAAAAAGGCGTGACAATGCGTATGTATGTAAATGTATGTATATGCAATATATATATAATAATTATAGGCGACACATACATTAATATGTATACTCGTATTTGTATATAGTATGTGTTCGAGCGTCGATCGCGACGCGACCGGCTCGTTGTAGAATAGCCGATTCTCACTCACGAGTTGAGCGCTCACCGTGAGTCTCGCGCAAGTCAATTTCGCGAGAGGAGTTTGAAGGCGAAGAGAAAGTAAAGGAAACCTTTTAAACGTTCACACGACAATTTATTTCGGCGTCTCGTCGACACAAAGAACCGCGGGACAAGCTATGCCCCGTTCGGCACGACAGTGAGCGGTATCGAAATGACTTTTATATGTCGCGTCGCTCCGAGATGGTGATAGAGCGAGGCTCGGAAGGCGATTGATTGAAGCGCGGCAAGGGTTCGTTCCCTTTCGCGTAAATAAGTTGTTATTCACTTGCGAGAACACTCGTCCGCGACGTGGAACCCGGCATGATTGACGAATAAGATCGGGCTACGTACTTTTCGACCCGTGAGCGCGACTGCCAGCCAGTTCCATGTCGCGGGCAAGAATCGTGATCGCCGCGTGTTTCGGACGGGGCGATCGAATGACAAAAGAATGCGGTAGACTCTCGAACATACCGCCCGCCTCGGAACGATAGTTTCGAAATAATTACATAATGTCACACAATCGACAGAACGCAGACGCATATAACGCTGACGGCGGAGGCGCACGCACAATACGGCATGAACGGGAGTCAAAATGAGAGATATCAAAGTAGCGAATTTGAATCTGAGCGTTATGTGGTCAGGATATGAGAGAATGCCGCCCGCCATGACGGAGCATACGTGCCCCTAACACATGTGTAGTTCACGAAAATAGTTAATTGCTCGTCGTCTCACTCGTGACAGGTAGCACGCACAGCTTTACAATCGGCCGGCGATACTCGGAAGTAGCGGTCTTAACTGTTACCACGCGGACGAAACCGTCAGACCCGGGGTGACACTGCGTCACTCGGCCAAGTTCCCATTTGCAGGGCGGTAATGTGGGATTTCGCAATAAAACGAGGCGCCCGATCGTAATCTGCGGTTTTACCGTTCGCCACTTTGCTCGCTGTTGGAGTGTGTTGAGATAATCAGTACTCCATAATTTCCAAAATCGCTCAGTCATGCGGCGGACAAGTTGCCATCGTGATAGTCGATTTTCATTAATTTCGAGCAAAGACGGTTCCGGGTTTACAGTGATAGCTGAGCCGATTAAGAAATGACCGGGGGTGAGACAATCGTAGTCCTCAAGCGTATCGGAGAGAGGGGCGATGGGCCGCGAATTCAAACAGGCTTCGATTCTACATAGCAAGGTGGAAAACTCCTCGAAGGTTAACATATGGCCGCCCAGCACGCGGCGCAGATGATTTTTAACGCTCCGTACTCCCGCTTCCCACAATCCGCCGAAATGTGGCGCAGACGGAGGACCGAAGGTCCACGTGACACTATCGGAGGCTGTCATATTCAGAAAGTTCGGATCTCGCACAGCAGCCCGGTACGCTCGAGTCATGTCTCGGTCAGCCCCGACGAAAGTTGTCCCGTTATCAGAGTACATAGCTTGAGGCAGACCGCGACGAGCGCAAAAGCGAGAATAAGCGTTGAGGAAAGCCGGAGTGGAGTAATCGCTGACTAGCTCTAAATGTATGGCTTTAGTGGTCAAGCAGACGAATAACGCGATGTAGGCTTTGCGCGAGGTGATGCCTCGACCTGCGGATGCGCGAATCTGTACAGGTCCGGCGTAGTCGACACCGCAGTGTAAAAAACTGCGTAGCGACGATGACACTCGAGGTTCAGGGAGATCTCCCATGACCTGTGACGGTATCGCGGCACGTTCGCGAACGCACGCAACACAGTTGCGAATAACAGCTTTCACTAGGCTCCGAGCGCGAATAATCCAAAAATCGCGTCGCAGAATGTTTAGCGTGAGTTGCGGGCCGGCGTGTAGTGCGCGTGAATGCGCCTGCGTGACAATGAGGGTGACCAACGGATGATGCGAGAGGAGGACGGGATGTCGGAATGAATAAGGAAAGGGAGCTTTATTCAGTCGTCCACCCACGCGCAAAACCTTGTCCTGGTCGAGAAACGGTCGAAGAGACAAGATCGAGCTTCTTGAATTGAGGGAGTGATTGTTCGCCAAGGCATTTATTTCCGTGGCAAACAATGCCGCTTGGATTTGCCTGATCCAGAAGGTCTTGGCTGCGTTGCAGTCAGATGCCGACAGTACGACACCTTTGACGATCGGATATCGCTTCGGCATCGGCGTAGACGATGAGCAGTCAACATTCCGACGGGAACAAACGGATCGGCATAGACGGGTGAACTTAAGGAGGTACGCGGTAACGCGAATTAATCTTGGCCAAGAGGAATATCTCGAGGCCAGATCCCACGGATCACGCCGTTGAGAACATTGCAGAGAAGCAATTCGTTCTTCGAGAGGAGCAGTCGGCGCGATACGCGGATCGGGACGCGGCCATTTATCGGGATCGAATTGCAACCAAGGAGGACCGCGCCACCAGAGCGCGTGATTTATGATCTCGTCACCGAATATCCCCCGCGAAGCGCAATCAGCGGGATTGTCTTCGGTTGACACATGTCGCCATTGACAGTTCGGAAGGCGCGACTGAATTTCGTTGACGCGATTAGCCACAAACGTCTTCCATCGCGACGGATGCTGCGTCACCCAAGCGAGAACGATAGTGGAATCCGTCCAGCAAAAACACGGGAGGTCGTGATACCCGTTTGTTTCACGGACGAATTCAAGAAGGCGTGCGAGCAACACTGCGGCTGATAATTCTAAGCGAGGTATGCTGAGCGGTTTTAAAGGCGCGACCTTAGATTTTCCGGCGAGTAGTGTGACCGTAATTGCGCGCGATTCAGAGATAACTTTAATATAGACCGCTGCGGCATACGCGTTGTTCGACGCGTCAGCGAATCCGTGAAGCTCCGCGTGCCCCTTCTCCGAGCCGATCTCGCACCAGCGAGGTATCTTTACATGACTGAGATACGCGAACCGAGAGTAGATTTCTGTCCAATGAGACAGCAGTGCCTCGGAGATTTTATCGTCCCAGCCGACTTTGAGGCGCCAAAGCTGCTGCATTAATATTTTGGCAGTAATAGTTGCCGGGGTGACCCAGCCGAGTGGATCGTATAAAGTTGCAATAGCGGACAAGATTGTACGCTTGCTGATCGGTACAGTAGCTGCTAATGAAACGCTAAACTCGAAACTGTCGAGCGCGGGACTCCACCCAATGCCGAGAATTTTGAGTTGCTCGTCCCGAGCTAATGGCTTTTTTCCCGCCAAACCGTGGTCCGCTAGATCAATGTCGGCCAGAAGAGAGGGCGAATTGCTCGCCCATTTTCGAAGTTTGAAGCCGCCCCTGGCCAACATTGAAATGACCTGGTCTCGTTTCTCCCTAGCAACATCCGGAGTATCGGCGCCGAATATCACATCGTCGACATAAATATTATCGCGGAGAATAGGGATCGCGAGCGGAAAGTGTTGACCTTCGTCTTCGACGAGTTGTTTCAAAACCCGAAGTGCTAGAAACGGCGCGCATGACATTCCGTAGGTAACCGTTAATAATTGATATTCGGTTGGAGAGTTCGACGGTAATGATGCCCACAGAATTCTTTGATAATTGACATCGCGATGATCGACGAGAATCTGGCGATACATTTTCGCGATATCGGCCGAATATAC